TCTACTTCTACACGTCACAATCCCATGAGCCTCTCACCTGTTTCCTCCTTCCAGGCCAAGATCAGGGGCTCCTGCAAGCCCTGGTGCTCCAGGCGACACCGAAAACGGTCCCTCTCCTTCGGGTCGATCTCAATGCTGAGCCAGACATAATAGGTCCCATCCGAGTTGGGGGCCACGTTCCTAGGGAGGGTTTCATACTCGCAGATCTCTCCATCCCTGGTCCAGGTGGCCTGGATCTCCTTGGGGTAGAAGCCAAAGGCCTGGCAGATGAGGACCTCCAGGTGGTCATCCACCTCCTTGTGGGTCACCTTCCCCACTGGGGGCTCTGCAGAAACAGCAACAACACAATTCCCAGGATTTCCAGAGTTTCTGGCAAGGGGATTTAAATAGCAAGACCTCCTTGGGGCATCCTCTCCCTCTGCTCCCTCTTCTTGCCTCAACCTGGGGGAGCCCCTAAAATGGGGCATTGGGGTTCTTTACATTACGTTTTGAAAGGGATACATAGAATTTGGGGTAATGTTTCCACATTGGCCAACGTATTCCCCAATTTGTTGGACTGATTCAATTTTAAGCCCCCAAATCAAATTTGTTCAAGTTGTTCAGATGGAAATCAGGAACAGGCTAATCATTTCCTTCCAACCCAAACATTCGTTTCTTCTGCTTTGCAAGACTTTCCTGGGGAAATAGAATGAGAATGAATTTCTTGCTCAGTTTTTTTTTAAAAAGTACTTATTTTGGGGGGCACTGAAGATTATTTTTCTTCTGTAATGTGATGTCAGATACTTCCTGATCTTTTTCCACCAATATTTTAAAAGGTGGCTTGGCTGTTTAGGAGAGAAACAATATGGGGAGGGGGGAGCACACAGAAACATGCTCAGTGAAGACCCCTTTTGCCACTCACCGATCCTCTGCAGAGCCTCCTTCCTGTAGGACAGGTATCTCTGCAGCCACTCAATGCAGGGCTCCTCCAGGAAGTCTTTGTTTCCCTCAGACCATCCTGAGTCATCCTCCCACTTCTGCTTGAGCTTCTGGGCCTGGGGCTGAGCTGCCACCCATCTGAGGGTCTCCTTGTCGAAGCTGATGAAGTCCATCCCATCGTAGCCATAGTGCAAAAACCCTTCTTTGCTCCCGTCTTGTGAGATCTTGCAGCCCAAAACCACCTGCCAGGTGTGAAGCCCTGAAGGAGAGGCAGAGGGGGTGGATGTGGATGAAAAGGGTCCAGGATTCCTCTCCCTAGACAGCCTGAGAGTCTTCCCCCTTCCCAGAGATCAGATTTCTCCTTCCTCTCTTTATCACACAAGGAGAAACATCTTTTACTTCAATTAACCCTGTTTGGCTGTTTGTCAGGCCATGAAGAATTTCTAGGTGAGGGAGAAAACCGTGTGTGTGTGTTTGTGTGTTTGTGTGTGTGTGTGTGTGTGTGTGTGTGTGTGTGAAGTCCCCTGCAACCATTGGAGGCCAAAGGTGGCACTGCCCCTGCTCACCTCTAGCACGGTGGCCCAGTTTTGATAACTTCTCCAGGTCAGTCCTGAAGACCCACTTAGGGGACAGAAAGTCCTCCATCTCCCCCTCCTCCATCCAGGGCACCAGAGGCTCCATC